GACAGGCTGCTTTCATTCCGCACCCATAAGGGTGGACTCAGGGTACATTCTTACTGATAAATCTTGTGGACGCGACAACTTTTGTAGACTGAAGAAAGGGGTAGCCACCAATTCACTAGGCTAAACAGTTAGACAGGACTTATTAGTCCTGTAACCGATCGGTGAGCGTCTGTCTTCCATCGTGTGTATGCCCGATCGAAACCGGCAAGGCAGCGGGTCCGTGGCGAAACGGTTAGAGCGTTGGCCACCTATTGAACAAGGTTGTGGGTTCTATGCTAAGCCGTCGTTACTCCTGGGATTGGATATGCCTGTCTGATGACGACTAATAAGCCAGAAATGACTATTCTAGTTTTCCTTGTCGGATACATTATCTCTTGTAGTGAGAGATGCCAATTAAATAAATAAATATTTATGTTTAAGGTTCAGAGGGCCTCCTTCATAAAAAAACTTAATACTAGGGCAAAATAATTAAAATTTGGACGATCGGTGCTCAGTGTGCACAACAATATAAACAGCAGAAAAGAGTAGTATTGTAACGGATCATTTTAAATTTAACAAAGATACATCCTTTTAAAGCAACGATCAGGTCAGGCCAGGTTTATTAATGGAAATATATGCAAACGCCTTTGAACTCCCTATTGGTACACAGTCGTTAAGTAATGCACTGTCAGCAATCTTAGGAAAATATGGCGCACTTAAAAAGAAGCAGTGAAAAGAGCTCCTACAATGAATTCGGGAACAGAGTTCAGCAAAACCCACTTTGCATTAACGGATATATTGGCCGCATCATTATAAAATGAATTTGCGAACATATAATTTCTCCTTATTCAGTCACTTTCACTCACTTTATTAAGGGAAGAAGGCTTTCGCCCCTGAGCTCCCCATTCATATCCAAAAATTGCAAGAGTTCAACCTTAACAATAGTACGTAATACAAATGTAGGCTTAACACCAGCGATATGTGTAAGCCAGTTGCAAAATGCTGCTACTGACACTATGTTCAT